TCCATTTTTATTCGGACAAACATGTTCAATACTAAAGAAAGATCTTTAATCAACAAAGAGAATCAAGAGTCTCTGTTCTGCTTCGAACAATCCGATGAAAAACTTCTCTAACTTTCTTCTCAAACGGATCCAAACCATTTTTCAAATCTTCATGAACCTCCACAAGCTCCCCAACTCTCTGTTTCACCTCAATCTCCTTGTCATCACTCAAAGGAAAATGTACCGAATCGATCAATTCGTTCATCAACCTCGAACACTTCTCAATCCGATCAATCTCTTTAAGCAAACCACAACAATTCTTCCTATCTCTTCTCTTCGATTCCTCCACAACCTTATCGTGCAACGACATAACCGGTGCTGCCCACTGAAAATGTCTAGGCACAAAGAAATTCACTTGCAGAAACCCACGATCTTGACAAGGAATCGCAGCTACCAAAGCCCACATGACAAACAACAAAACCGAAGTCATTGTATAAACCGGTACAGCTAAACCGTTGCTCGCAGCGACGTCGTTTGATCGTGGAGTCGCTAAATTGTTGGCTAAAGCTTGTAATTGCTTAGAAGCTGACCATGATCTAGACACACTCCACGACAGAGATCTGAAATGTCCGATCGAACGGTGGTGGTGACTCTCTCTGATTCTTCCAAACGAACGGTTACGATGAGCTAGATTCGTACCGGAAGAAGAAGAAGGGTCTTTCTCGTCTAGCATTCCGATTGCTAAATCGATCAGAGCTTTCTTAGCTCGACGGAGTTGTCCTTCTCCGACAGGACGGTGACTGTCTAAAGCTGAGATTACGATGTCGGCGAGTTTCTGCCATTGTCGGATCTGTTCGATCCCGTCGCGGATTGCGTTGCAGACATCGAGGGCTTTGATGCTCCGTTCGAAGTAGTCGGAAATTAATCTGTCCATCGGAGGTTTAGAGATCTGAGATCGGTGGTTGAATACGATAGCTCGAAACTCTTCTTGACAACAGAGAAACGAATCGAGAAGCTTTCCGATCCATTCTAGAGAGAGAAGCTCACCGGAAGCGTTCAGATCGATAAATTTCTCGGCGACTTGTCTTTGAAATGAATCTAGCTCGACTTCCATGTTGCTTGGCTCGTGCTGGTGATTGTGGTGGCTACTACTTCCGGCGACTAAGTCAACTTGGTCTCGCCGTAAACTTAGCAATGACCTTCCAAATGATCCTTGAAAATCCGTACCTGGCATTCTAATAAAAGATACAAAGTTTGAATCTTTTTTCCCGAGAAAATTAAAATTCTCAAGACTCAGAATTTTTTTTTTGATTGAGAGTGATGATGATTGATGAAAAGCTAGAAGAAGAAGAGATGGGTATATAAAGCGAGAATTTTGACCGCGTATTTTTTAATATAATGTTTTAAAAAGAAAATATATTCAATCTTTGGATAATTTTTCTCATTTGAATAATTTTTATTTTTCGAATAATTTTGGGGAAATTGGCAAATATAGCAAAAAAAATATAATTAATTTAGTAGATAAAATTATTGTTTATGTTGTATAATATGTATTATAGTTGGGTTTGGATTTGGATTAACTATTTTAGTTGTAGGATTTAGTTTTAAAGTTTAGAGCTTAGGGTTTATAGTTGAGAGTTTAGTATACAACTTCAAATCTTCATTTTTTAGTTTTTTTTTTATTTTATGTTATTCTAATTACTTTTACATAGTATTGTACATAATAAATTTTATATTAGTTGTTAGTTTTTTTCTATCTGTTCTATATTAGTTGTTAATTTTTTAATTATATTTATTATATGGTTATTATACTAATTATATTTGTTTTTAGTTAGTTAGCAAAATTGATCCATAATTTTGTTGTTAAAAATTAATTTGA